TGACCTTGCTAAACATATTATTTCTAGAATGTTTTTCTTTTTTTCCTGTGGTAGATTCCTAGGATTTTCAACATAGATGATAATGTCATCCTTGAATAAAGACAGTTTATTTTTCCTCTGCAATCTGTATGCCTTTTATTTATCTATTTTTCCTCGTCTTTTTGCACTGGCTAGGACCCCCAGTATGAAGTTGAAGAGAAATGATGAAAGCTGAACAGAAGTGATCTTAGAAGGGAAGTATTCTATCTTCCACCATGAATTACGATGTTAACTGCAGTTTTTTAACAGATGCCCTTCATCAGGTTGAGATAATTTGCTTCTATTCTTAGGTTTGCCAAGTTTCTATCAGGAATGGATGTTCAATTTTGTAAGATGCTTTGCCTCCAACTACGAACATGATCATATGATTTTTCTTATCATGTCATTAAAATGGTGACAAACATTTATTGGTTTTCAAATGCTAAGGCAGCCTTGAATTTTTGAAACAAAACTCACTTGGTAATGGGGTATTATCCTTTTTATATGTTGTTGGGTTTGATTTGCTAATGTTTTTTCAAGAACTTGATGTCTATGCTCATGAGGGATACCATTCTGTAGTTTTCTTGAAATGTCTTTAATTAGTTTTGATATTAGGATGACACTAAGTTTCATGAAACAAGACAGGAAATGTTCCCTTCTCTTCCTTTTTTTCTGGAAGAATCATGTAGAATTGGTATTATTTCTTCCTTAAATGTTTGATAGAATTTTCTTGTGAAGCCATCTAGGCTGGAGCTTCTTTTGTAGGAAACTTTTAAACTGTAAGTATTCAATAAAAATAATGGATATAAGGCTATTCAGATTATCTATTCTTATGTAGGTTTTAGTAGTTTGCGTCTTTCAAGGAATTAGTCAATTTCATCTAAGTTGTATTTATTGACATAAAATTGTTTACAATATTTCTTAGTTTTACAATGTCTATTGGATTTGTAGTGATGTCTTCTCTTCATTCTTGATACTGGTAATGTGTCTAGCTAGAGGTTTACTAATTTTTTGGATACATTCAAAGTTATATTAATTTTTTTCTATTTTTGTGTTTTTTAAGTTCAATATTATTTACTCTTTTCTGCTTATTTTGAGTTTAATTTTCTCTTCTTTTTCTATTTTCTCACAGGGGAAGTTGAGATCATTGATTTAAATATTGTTCTTTTCTAATGCAGGCACTTTCCTCTAAGCATTGCTTTGCTGCATACCACAAGTTTTGACAGGTATTTTCACTTTCATTCAATTCAAAATATTTTTGTTTCTTTGTTATTTCTTCTTTGACCCTGGGCTATTTAGAAGTACATTATTTAATTTCCAGATATTTGGGGACTTTCCAGATAACTCTGTTACTGATTTTTGGTTTAATTCTGCTGTGGTCTGTATTAGTTTCCTAGGTCTGCTATAACAAACTGGGTGTAAATTCCGCCTCATGTCCTGTGTATTATGAGGTCTCTCCACCGAGGTTGGTGGGAATGCAAACTATTCACCATCCTTTGTGAGCTATGGAAATCGTTTGGCCTCCTATGGTGCTTTCCAGTCGACCCTTCCTTGGACTCTAGAAGCTTACCTCCCACGTGTACAGCTCAGTACTCGGCCGGAGATGCGAGGGCATCCCTCTGCAGAGCTCCAGAGCTCTTTAGTGTTCAGCTTCCTCCTCCTTGACGTGTTGGCATATAAATTCGAGTCACCTCCATCTCCCCAAATTCCAAGCTCTATTAAGACTGCTGGGCTGTTTGTCTTCCCTCTTCCTGCACTGTGGACTGGAAACTACCCTCAGATAGCTTCACAATGCTCATCTCATTTGTTTTCTTTCTCTCAGGGATCACAATCCTGTGCTGTCTGTTATCCCACGTCTGAAGATAGTCCTCCTCTGTCCCCAACTTGGCTAATTTCTCTAGTTGTTTCTGGAGTGAAGGTAATTCATGACTATTTTTTCTCCCTTAAGGCTTGCATGGAATTTATTCACTCTTGTTACTTTACTTTTGGTGGTTACTCTAGAGATTTCTACATGCATCCCTGACTTTTTACACTCTACCTTAAGCCATTACTTTTACCACTTCCTGAAAAACGAAAGAATCTTACAATTGTTTGACTCAGTAAGTCTCTCCCTTCTTTTGGTCTATCACCTTCACATATTTCACTTATATACATGTTATAAATGCCACAACACACTGTTTCATCTTAAAAATAAGTAGTATTTGATATTTACCCAATATTCCCTTCCCTTTGTTATTCTTTCTGTCAGAACTTTCTTTTGTATTTCTTGTGGAGTAAATGGAGATTATTCTTCTCAGATTTTATTTTTCTAAAAAGAAAAATGTTTATTTTGCTTTCATTTTTGAAGGCTGCTTTTGCTCTAAAGCGTTTTCAAGGTTGGTAGTGTTTCTCTTTCCGCACTTTAATGATCTCAATAAACTCTGCTAGGACTTTATTTAGAGTTCCTGTTTTACTGGTAACCACTAGCCTTACTGTTTCTCTTTAAAGGTAATGTGTGTTTCTTCTCTGATTGCTTGGCGAATTTTCACGAGTTTGACTGTGCTGTTCTGAAGAACGTTTTTCTCTGCATTTTCCCTGCTGGAGCGTTCGGTTGGCTTCTTGAATCTGTCCGTTGATGTTGTTCATTAGTTTTGAAAACTCTTGGCCATTGTATTCTCAACTATGTTTTCTGTCACGGTCACCTCACTTCTCTTTCTGGGATACTAATTACATGTGTATCAGATCTTTTGAGTATGTCTCACATATTCTCTGTTCTGTTTTTTTCCATACTTACTACTCTATGAGTTTCAGTTTGGATGTTTTCTATTGACCTCTCTTCAAATTCACTAGTCCCCTTTCTGCTGTGTTTAGTCTTCTCCTAAACCCATCAAATGAGCTCTTAATTTCAGATATTATATTTTTGAGTCCCTGAATGTCCACTTGATTGTCTTGATCCCTATTTTCTATTAATATTTTAAATGTCTTCATTTTTTCTTTCTTCTATGAAAAATATATTCATAAGTTACTTAAAATGCTTATAAACTCTAATAAAAGGACCATCTATGGAACTGCCTCTGTTCTTCTTTTCATGATTATTAGTCTATGTTCCTGTCTCTCCACATGTCTAACAACATATGCTTCTCAGTTTCCTCAGCAATTTATCCATTTCCCCACCATGTGTCACACTGGAAGTGTTGGGCTGCTGTGACTTAATATCTCTTTCTTGTAAGTAGAAGTCCTCCTTTCCTGGGGGATTTACATTCATTGTGGGAATATCAAGCTACCACTGCTTCTATTTATTAAGAAACTTCTGGAATGTTGGATACTATTGAGTGATTCTGCTCTTAATTTCATTTTTATCAAAATATTACAGTAGCACCTTAGCTGCTAAAAAGTCATTCAGCCAATTCATCTGTTAAGAATGATGAGCAAGATGATCTTCTGAAAGGCCAATATCAATAGCACAAAAGCCAACAAATTTTTAATCACAGAAATTGTTAAGAATACACACACACACAGAGCCTGTGCTGTAGTAGAACGAGAACAGAATTTAAAGAAAGAAGACCTGATCTAAACCTCATCTCTGTCATTTACGAGGAAAGCGACCTTAGGTAAATAATTTTTCTACTTTGAGTTTTAGTTTTTAATTCATAAAGTTGTTGCAAAGATAAAACAGTATATTTTAAAGACCTTTGTAAACTATAAGCATGTTGTGAGATGCCTTATATAATATTATCTAGTTTCTAAATCTACAGATCAAAAGCTATAAATTAAACATGAGGACAGGAGTGTAACAGATACACTAACGAAAAAACTGACAACCAACAGTATGACATCAAGAGAAGAGTCAAAAACCATTTTAAAAGCACCAATAAGAGCTTAGGGTAAGCCATTTAGTACAGGCTTAAACAGCCCCTACTTATTTCAACAGACCCTGAAGCTATTACTTTATCTCAACACAGCATAGTGATTGATATTTACGAAAAGAAGCTTGAATTTGAAAGTAAATCATATCCCATATATTATTATTAAAATAAAGGACTATCTCATAAACTTTGGAAAGACTGCAACCAAAAGTGACTAAAATAAAAATTGTAGGTGAGTGATCTGCAAGTGGATTAGTTTCTACTTGGGAGGCAAAGTCTTTATATCATGTGATCTTGGAATGATTAAGTTCGTCAATAAAATGAGGAATTTGCAGCATTAACTCACTCTGACTAATGGAAAACTTTGTAAAGGGTATGATTTTTCAGAAGTTAGAAGAAAAGAAGTAATAGACTATGGCTAAAAAATGGTCACAGGGGAGGGTGAAATCAACGTTCTGGGAAAGATAAGATGGCTACATGAAGAAAAGGTCAGAGAGGGCATGTGGCTCAGGTTCTTAAAAGCAAGAATCATTTGGGGGAACACTACAGATTGGGAGAGCAAGGTTGTGAAGTAGTTAATACATTAAGCTTTAGTGATGTTCATAAAACTTATTATGAGGAAATATCATAAATGAAATAAAAGTGGATCAAAAATGGTTGTAAAAATATATTTATGGATGAGTTACGGAGACTACTACAGAGTTGATTACGGCAACATACTTAGAATATCAGGATTAGCCCAGAAAAAACAAGATTTCAAAAAGTACTAGAACTGAAATGAAAAACAGGTACACGGTCGAATGTAAAAGAAGAAAATCATTATCTTGCTGCTGTTGAAAACACAGATAGGACCAGGATCTTTTTCACAGGCCTCATTATAACATCATTGTTATGATTTCCCAAAATGTATTAGGCTAAAACTATGAGTCATTTCATCCTGTATGTATTTAAGGTCAGCTTGGAAGAGGCAAAAGTGGTCTAATTTTCGTGTACAGTTAAGATTTCATTATGTGATAAGAGTTATTTGCTAACTAAGCCTAAGGCATGTCAACCAAGTTCTAAAACTAACATCTGAGAAGACCTCTGTAAAAACAACTTTAAAAGTAATTTAGCAATCTTATAAATAAACCAATATACCTTAGCAAGTGATTTTACAATAGGATTCTCCATAATCCCCTTGAGGAAAATGAGGTCTATTTCTTCTGCTCCCGTCGATGAGGGTAGCTCCGTAAGGTTATCCAACACTTGCTGCATTGCTGCTGAGATAAAAGCAATTAAAAAAACCCCTAAATTCCAAGCCATTAGAAATATGATTATAAAATAATTCAAATAAAAAGACATTTAACAATTAACACTCTTTTGAAAAATTACATTTTAAAAAACTGAACTGTTAAACAGAGTAAGTTTCAGATTGACCCGATGAGTTAACAGCAGTACAGGTTTTTATATGCAATTTGGGCTTTATCAGACAACCTTATATATACTTACAACCTTACACTTACTTTATACTTTTCAAATTTAAAAACATTACTTAAAAAGAAATATAAAATTTTAATGGGTCCATTAATAAAGAGATTAAATTAGTAATCAAGAAAATTCCCACAAGCCCAGAACCAGACGGCTTCTTTGGTGAGCTCTATCAAGCATTAAAGAATTATTCAAACCAATACTTCACAAACTCCTCCAAAAAACACAGAAGAGGAAGGCACACTTCCCAACTATTCTATGAGACTCTGATACTTATCCAGACAAAGACATCACAAAAAGTTACAGCCAATATCCTTTATACAGATGCAAAAATGAAACACTAGCAAACTAAAGCCAGCAACATACAGAAAGGACTGTGTAGACAACGACCAAGTACAATTTATCCTAGGAATGCAAGCATGGCTCATCAACATGTGAAAATCAATCAATGTAATAACTATATTAACAGAACAAAAATACTTGATATCTCAATAGGCGCAGAGAAAGCATTTGATAGAATCCAATACCCTTTCATGATAAAAACATTCAACAAACTAGGAATAGAAGAGAAATTCCTCAATGTAGTGAAGGGCATCTATGAAAACTCCACAGTTAACATCACATTTAATGGTGAAAGACTGGATGCTTTTGCATAAGATCAGGAACAAGACAAGGATGTCTCCTCTTGCTACTTCTATTCAACGTTGCACTGGAGTTTCTAGCCAGGGTAGTTGGGCAAGAAAAAGAAATAAAAGGCATCCAGATTGGAAAGAAATAAGTAAAACTATCTCTTTTTGCAGATGACATAATCTTGTATATAGAAAATCCTAGGGAATATACAAAAAATTCATTAAAATAGAAGAGTTCAGCAAGGTTGCAGGATATAAGATCAAAATACAAAAATCAATTCTATTTCTACATGCTGGCAATGAACAATTCGAAAACGAAATTAAGAAAACCATTCCTTTTACAATAGTATCAAAAGCAGTAAAATAATTAGAAATAAATGTAACAGAAGTGCAAGATTTGTACACTGAAACTATAAGACACTACTAAAATAATTAAAGAAGACAAATAGAAAAAAATCCCATATTCATGGATTGGAGGACTTAATATTGTTAAGATAGCATCCCCAAATTTGTCTACAGATTTAACGTAATCCCTATCAAAATCTCAGCTGCCTCCCCTTTTATTTTCAGAAATTAATAAGCTGATCCTAAAATTCATATGAGAAATGCAATGGACCAAGAATAGCCAAACAATCTTCAAAAAGAACACAACCAGAAGACTTCCACCTAAGTTCCAAACTGACTAAAAAGCTACAGTCATCAAGACTGTGTGGTACCAGCATAAAGGCAGGCATATAACTAAATGAGAGTCTAGAAATAAATCCATAAATTTATGGTCAATTGATTTTCGGCTAGGGTGGCAAGACAATTCAATGGTGAAGAGTCTTTTCAACCAATGCTACTGGGACAAGTGGATACGCACACACAAGAGAGTGAAGTTAGACCCCTACTTCAGCCAATATCATAGGCTTAATTTTATTTGGATTAATTTTATTAGCTTTATCTCCTTGGTTCAGTTTCCTTAGAATAAGTCTACTAACATTGCAGTTGTTTGTTTTTAATTTTTTATTTTTATTAACATAAAACATTGTTAAAAGTCACTTCATACTGTTAACTGGCTTATAATGAAATACAGCAGTTCTCTGTTCCATGCTGTCTGCCTTCCTCCCAATTTATCCTACTCTCCAGAGGTAACTACGCTGAATTTGTTCACAGTGTGTTTTAATCACATCTGTATTTCTGAATAATAGGCTAATATTGCTCCTTTTTCATTTACCCATTTTAGACATTATCCATTTATTTTTTGTTAGAATTCCAGAGGGTTAGTCTTTAACCTTCTCCTATCTCCAGACTGGCAATTTTTAATAAAAATCAACAGTTAATGTTTTTCATATGGGACTCCTACAAGTTTTTTCCAAATGTTCCAAAAAACTTTTCCATTTCTATCAGTAATTTTTCCAAATGCTCAAATATTTTTCTAATATTCTATCAGACTTACTCCCTGACTTATACCCCTGAATTCCCACCCAAAGTATTTTTCTCTTGTACTTTAATCTGGACAGGTCCATTTCTAGGTCTCTTACTCAGTATGTGTAAATAACTGACAATTTTGGAAGTAAACAAGTGAACAGGAGAAAAATGTGCACTTAAAACAAGGAGAAGGAAAATCAGTAGTTGGCTAAGATGAAGAAAGACAACCCTGGGAAATAAAGAATGTAAACAGAGCCTACTTCATAATTTTGCCTGAGGTCCAACATATACCTTTAAGTGGGTAGGGAACAACAGAATCAAAAATCTTTAGAAGTGGGGCCAGCTTGGTGGCCCAGTGGTTAAGTTCACATGTTCCGCTTCAGCGACCCGGAGTTCACTGGTTCGGATCCTGGGTGTGGACCTACGCACTGCTTATCAAGCCATGCTATGGCAGGCATCCCACACATAAAATAGAGGAAGATGGGCATGGATGTTAGCTCAGAGCCAATCTTCCTCAGCAAAAAGAGGAGAATTGACAGCAGATGTTAGCTCAGGGCTAATCTTGCCCCCTCCCCAAAAAAAACTTTATAGAAGTATTTTTACCCTGTGACTATAAATGCAGTAAGCTCTACTCCTCATGACTACTTTTATTTTCTTTCCTTTGACATTCTATATTTATCTTTATTTTTAACTTTTATAATGGAAAATCTCAAACATATGCAAAAGGAGATAAAATAATATAATGAACCCAATAATTATCAGCTCCAAAAATTAGCAACTCATGGCCAGTCTTGTTTCCTACTCCTTTATACTTTCTATCCTACATAACGGTGAAGAAAATCCCTGATATCACTTTTCAGTGTATGTCTAAAAGATCAAGATTCTTTTTAAACAATGTAACCAAAATAGTTAGCATATCCAACAAAATAGCAATAATTCCTTAATATCATTGAATGTCTAGCTAATGTTCAAATTTCCAATTATACTAAAGATTTTCAAAAAAATGTATCTTCTATATTGGTTGGTGAGGTAGTTAAAATTTCATATTGGTGCTTAATTAATGGATTGGGAAGAAAAGTGGCAGAGATTGTGAAATATGCCCTTAGTTATTTTGACGCTCTTCATAAGTTGTTACTGATTCTTGATTATATGAAATTTAATTAAAAACGTACAATATCCCACCTCCTGGAAAGGGAACCTTGAATATTACAGAGTTGCCAAACACTCCCAAACTAATTTGTACGTTTAATGGAGTTCTAATCAAAATACAATAGACTCCCCACACAGCCCTGGTTTTCAGGCCAGGTCTGGCTTGGTCTTCCCCAGTAGGGAAATGGCCAAGGTGCTCCAGGGACCTCGGGCTGCTGTAGCAGCACAGCGGGGTACTCTGATGCAGTTCTGCACGGTTCGGGGAGGCCATGGCATCTGGCAGTAACTAGCTGTCCAGGGTGAATGCTGTGCTGGCGGAAGTCTACAGGAACCTGGTATTTGTACTGCTACTTATTTTGGGGAAGAAGTAAACCATGTGCTTTGCAATGGAAATCTCGAAGGGGACCTGATCTCCTTGTGGGACACGTGCCCTGAAGACTTGAAAGAGGAGACTGACATTCAACTATCTAGGCTTCAGGATATCAAGTATGAACCCCAGCTCCTTGAGGATGATGGTGCAAGAATACTACAGTTAGAAACCCAGGGAAAGCAGAAGTGCCACAACTACCTGTACAGGATGAAAGCTCTGGAAGCCACCGGGCCTCTGAGACACCATTTCAAGCTGAAGGCTGGCATTCCTGGGGCAAGGATTTCTGCCCCTACCTGCTAGATCTTCGAAACACTAGTACTCCTTTTCAAGGGTGTGTGCAAGGCCCTCACTGATACCCTGCTGGATGGCTGAGACGGCCCACTATGGGACATGGGTCTGTGGCCAGAGAAAGCACCTGAGCTATCAGGAGGCCCTGACTGAGCTGGCCAGTGCGGTCAAAGTGCAAAGGGGGAGCTCTCAGCGACACCACCAGTCAGCAGGCAAAGCCCCAACCCAGTGTCCTGAAATCTCCCGACAACCATCAGGTGAGTGGACCTCCCCTCTAGTCAGAAGAGTCAGCACACCAAGCAGCACTCCCTCAAACTGAAGAGCTTTAAGGACAATTAACTCTTTGGGAGCACTCTGTGATGGAGCTGAAGGACTGTCACTGCAGTGTGCTTGCTGGGCAGCCCCTGGCTCATCTACTCAGAAGCCCCAGACTGGACCAGCCGAAGCTGTGTAGAGTCCAGAGCTCCTAGAGCCCCTGCCTAGAGGATCATTCCCCAGCTCTTCCTCAGGGGCAGTTTCAGAACATCCGCTAAGAATTTATTTTCCTCTGGAAAATAAATTTTTTCTGGAGTTGAGTTCAGACGTTATTCTTAATGCCCCTGTCAAACTTTCCTTGAAAGTCCTCACTTGGTTTTGATCATACTTCACCTGCTCTGTTCCAGGATATTTAATCCCAAAGATGAGCGTTGGGGTGAGGGTACTCAGTGTCTTCTGTATGTTCCCCTTTGTACGTGGTTGAATGGGAACTATGTGGGTCTGGGCCACCTCAGGGTTGACTGGTGGGAAAGGCAGACAGGAACTGGCGGGGAGGTTGGGAGAGGCGGTAGATGTGTGTGGAACAACTTACCCTGGTGTTCCAGTTAAACCAGGATGTCAAAACATTAACATAACTTCCCTGCCGTGCGAGGATCTACCCTAACACTTCCATTCCGTACTCTATCATGAA